TCCTATGATCCACAGGCAGGGGCGGACTGACCATTCAAGCACTACCCAATGGCCCGGGGGTCAGTAGGGGGCCCCATGAGATGCCCCTGGTACTTTTTTCATAGGTTTTTTGGGTGTGGGCAAGGACACAAGGGCCCCATGATCCTCTATTGCCCGGGGGCCCCATGAGTTCTCAGTCCGCCCTTGTCCACAGGAGAAGTACAGCCAAACGAGCTTTGGTTCTACTTCTCCTTTAACCACTTCATGTCCGGACACTTTCCCCCCCTTCCTGTCTAGGCCAATTTTCAGCTTTCAGCGCTATCACACTTTGAATGACAATTGCGCGGTCATGCAACACTGTACAAATATGAATTTTTTACCATTTTTTTGAGACAGATACAACTTTATTTTGGTGGTATTTATTCATCGCTGGGATTTTTATTTTTTTTGCTATGTAAATGAAAAAGTCCAAAAATGTGAAAAAAGTGTTTTTCTCATAAAATTTTGAAAATAAATAGTATTTCACCATAAATCTTGGCCAAAATGTATTCTGTTATCTTTTTAGTACAAAAAAAATAAGTAAGCCAAAATTAGTTTATAACCCAAAAATGATAATTTTTAAACATATTTTTTTTAAATTTTTATTTTTTTTTTTTATATATTATATTTATTTATATTACATACTGTCACCCTAGCAGTACCATGGTGACACTGTACTACTTGTGGGGAGTGATGAAGATTTTTTTTTTTTTTTTTTTTTTTTTTTTACACTGATTGCTTTTACACCCATATAGGATGTAAAAGCAATCATTTCTCTTTCTCTCTGTCTGCATTCTTGCAGCCATTGAGAACTACTGAGTGAGCTGTGATTGGTCACAGCTTGTCACATGGTACAAGGCTGTTGTGAATAGCCCTGTACCATGTGACCTCTGTGATCATTCACAGATTTCACACGTAGTAAGCAATGATGTCAGAAGTGACGTCTTGCTTACTACTCTGCATGTGATCACTGATTGGCCAAGCAGTGACCACATGATCGAGACCTCGTTCAGAGTTCCTGTCCAACGATCGGTGTTTCACTGTGTCCGGAGGACTAAGCGGGCACCGGATCGCAGTGCTGCGCGCTCCCAGGGAGCGCGCACGAGCAGGGTGCAGGGAGGCCGTTTATATACATGGGCCGGACAGGAGGTGGTTAAAGGAATTATAAACCCGCCTATCTGCACCTTGAGCTTTTCAACTGCATTAGACGTGCATTGATCGTGTTGTTTTTCATGGTGTCACTAATATGTCTGTAAGCAAAGTCTATAGTAGAGTAAATCTTCACATTCCTTTGTTAGCAATTTCCATTTTGCATGCAAACATGAAGCATGCGGCACGGCACTGCACAGGTTAATGGATGACCTCAGTGTGTAGTCTAAGGGCCCATGTACACTGCAGCTGATAAACGCACATTTAGGAGCTTTTCTGCATTTTTTTCAGAAGCCTCTGAACTCCCCCTAATGTTTTCCTATTTGTCCATGTACACCTCATCGTTCACAGTCGTTTACAGGCATTGAGTTTACAGTCGTTTTTTTTTTTTTTAAAACTTGCGTTTAGCAGTTGATTTTTTATCAGCGTTTCAAGCGTAAAACGCTTCTAAACGCGGCAAATTTGTGTTTGAAATTTTTTTTAACTCGTCCAGTTCCCGATGCTGTCCCAGAGCCTTTTTTTCATCATGAACAATGCATGCAAAGCGTTTTCAAGGTACTAAAATGGACAAAACACTGAACACAGGATGTTCCTACCAAGCTCCTCACATATTTTAATGACCAATTCACACCTCAGACCTCTCCCACCCTTGGAAACAAAAGATATGTTAATGACCATTCACACCTCAGACCTCTCCCACCATTGGAAACAAAAGATATGTTAATGACCATTCACACCTCAGACCTCTCCCACTCTTGGAAAGAAAAGATATGTTAATGATCATTCACACCTCAAATTCCTCATGAAGACCCCCTGCCAGGTGGCCTTAATGACTCCCTCCACCAGACACCTTTCCCACCTTTGGAAACAAAAGAAATGTTAATGAGCAACTCACACCTAAGCTAATCTCAACACATACTGCTGTCTCTGCTTCTACTCTCTGTATTTCTCTGAAACAGTCTGAAATAGTTAATAATTTACCACTTTTCAGGGCATTCTGGGCATTTGGGAGGTTCTCCTGTGCTTATCTTTAAAAAACGCTTCTAAACGCAAACACGCATAAATGCACATAAACACGTTATGCAAACGTGACTAAACAGACGTTTTTTAACCTACGTTTTCCAGCAGTCAGTTTCCATCGTTCAGAAGTGTCCCGTGTACATGGGGCCTAAGAACTGACACTTCCTGTGAAGACATTATATATCCCACAATCCCTGGGCCTTCTCAGTCTAGTGTTCTGCAGGTGAAAACTAGTAATTAGATCTGACACAGGCAAAAGCAGGAAAAGTGTTTGGGGCAGCACAGTGACTAGAGGGTTCGCACTTCCATCTGCCAGCACTAGAGTTGTTGCTTCAAATCCCAACCACGGCGCCACCTGCCTGGAGTTTGCATGTTCTCCCCGTGCCTGCGTGGGTTTCCTCCGGGCACTCCGGTTTCCTTCCACACTCCAAAAACATGCTGGTAGGTTAATTGGCTCCAGTCTAAATTGGCCCAAGTATGTGACCTGAAACAAGAAGCTGCCTGTCCCTTTTGGTGAATAGGGACAAGCTAGATGAATGAATGCATGGACATAGGAGGATCGATCGGTCATAACATTACAAACTGCAGCCCATCGTTACAAGGTAAGGCGATTATTTTCACAGGCAAACTAAAAAAAAAAAAACAGTTTTTTGTCAGTGAAAGAGTTAAACAACACAAGGACGTCATCTTGGGTCACCCCGCTGTAAAAACTCAACAACAACAGTTTAGCTGTGAACAGAACAAGGATCCATTAGTGTGACGATCACATCTCGGCAGTAAATAGTTTTAATGTGCAGAAATTGCCAGTGTCGTATTACATGCACAGCTGATGTGATTTGCTTTTAGCAGAGCGAAGTTCTGAGCAAAGCCGCAAAGTAGGACAAGAAAAACCCACAGGTATTAAGACACGGGTACAGCAATCCGGAACATGGATCGTCTTGTACACAAATAAATTGCTGCTCTCAAAAAAAAAAAAAAAAAGTACAAATTCTAAATAAAATGTTGTTGCTGGAAAAAGTTTTGAAGTCTAGCAAACACTTTGTAATATTTTGTTTCTTTTATATTTGGGAAGCATTTTTAAGACTTAAAGAGTAACTCCACTTTTTTTGAGAAAAAAAACAAAACATTCTCTTTCTGGGTGATCGATGCACATGGCAAGGATTTAACCCCTTGGCGCCGGCGCCTCCCAGCCCTTTAAGGGTTTCAGAAGCCGGGAGGCGGGGCGGAGTTTTAGGGTCATGTGACCGCCGTGATTCGCCGTCACATGATCGGGAACGGTCCCGATCGAAAGAGGAGATCGGGACTGTTCTGTCTCTCCAATCTAAGCATTGAAAGTGTGATCTCTGTCACTTACAGTTGTGATGAGATAGCGATAACTCCAATCTTAGTTGAATAACACAGGCAGTGACTCGATCAGATGACACCTTGTAGATCTTGTGAAGTTTATTCCATAAACTGAGAGAATCTTACAACACTGAACATTCGATAGGTCAAAAGATCATAATGTAATCTGCTTCATGATATGAGGCTTGAAGCTGAAATGCCTTACTGGGAAAAGGGGTAAGGCCAGGAGCAGACTGACAACTCATGGGGCCCCCGGGCAATAGGGGATCCTGGGGCCCCTGTGTCTTTGCCCAAACTCAAAAAGGTACCAGGGGCATCTCATGGGGCCCCTTACTGATCCAGGGCCCTCGGGGGAGTGCCCGAGTTTCCAAATGGTCAGTCCGCCCCTGGGTGGGTGAGGGGGCTATCTATACAGCATGATCTAAACCAGAGGAAAGGTGGAGCAGAGGGTCAGTAGGGGGCCCCATGAGATGCCCCTGGTACCTTTTTCATAGGCTTTTTTGAGTTTGGGCAAGGACACAGGGGCCCCATGATCCCCTATTGCCCGGGGGCCCCATGAGTTGTCAGTCCGCCCCTGACCTGGACCGTGCGTGTCACCAGGCTGCACTGTGGGCACCTGATAAAAAAATGAAAGGAAGCTGGGTGCTTTTGTATTCTGGAGATTAAATATTATCATCATGTACAGGGGCGGACTGAAAACTCATGGGGCCCCCAGGCAATAGGGGATCATGGGGCCCCTGTGTCCTTGCCCAAACTCAAAAAAGCCTATGAAAAAGGTACCAGGGGCATCTCATGGGGCCCCCTACTGACCCCGGGCCCTCAGGCAGTGCCCGAGTTGCCAAATGGTCAGTCCGCCCCTGGTCATGTAACAAATGTGAGATTTACAAAGCAGACGTTACATTAAAAACATACATAGTTGTAAAATGCATATTTGGAGTGAAGATGTGCCAGAATGTAGGGAAGACCATTCCCAACCTCATATTCCTCTCCCGGAGTCAGGAGAGGCGAAATTCCAAGAATGTCACAACGTCTCCATCACTCCTAAACCACAGTACGTAAATCAGTGCCGAGCATCCGCAGACTGCCGCCATGCACACTTGACACCAGAAGAAAAAAAGATTCATTTTCCTGTCTGTGCCGAACAAACTGTCAGCAAGGTGGATCACAGTACATTTTAATGATCTGCGCAACGGCAACAAGAAGAAGAACACAATAGAAGCTTTTATCATTGGGTAATCCCAGTCTAAAGAGTGTCTGAACTGGTTACTACTGGGGATTCCAAGGACCATGAGCTGGGGGTATCTTAGGGTTCATGTACACTGCGGCTGATAAACTCACGTTTAGGAGCTGTTCTGCATTTTTTTTTCAGCAGCCCCCGAACTCTCCCTAATGTTTTTCTATGTGTCCATGTACACATCGTCCTTTACAGTCCTTTACAGGCATTTGAGTTTACAGTCGTTTTTTTTTTAACGCAGAAAACTTACGTTCCGCAGTCGATTTTATCAGCGTTTCAAACGCCAAACGCTTCTAAACCAAATCGCATTTCTAAGCGTTTGAAATTTTTTTTTAACTCTTCCAGTTCCTGATGCTGTCCAGAGCATTTTTTCATCATAAAAAAAAATGCATGCAAAGTGTTTTCAAGGTACTCAAATGGACAAAACACTGAACACATGTTTCCTACCAAGCTTGTCACACATTGTAGTGACCAATTCACACCTGAGACCTCTCCCACCCTTGGAAACAAAAGATATGTAATGACCAATTCACACCTCAAATTCCTCATGAAGACCCCACCTTAATGACTCCCACCACCAGACACCTTTCCCACCCTTGGAAACAAAAGAAATGTTAATGAGCAACTCACACCTCAGACCTCTCCCACCCTTGGAAACAAAAGATATGTTAATGATCATTCACACATCAGACCTCTCCCACCCTTGGAAACAAAAGATATGTTAATGACCATTCACACCTCAGACCTCTCCCACCCTTGGAAACAAAAGATATGTTAATGACCATTCACACCTCAGACCTCTCCCACCCTTGGAAACAAAAGATATGTTAATGACCAATTCACACCTCAAATTCCTCATGAAGACCCCCTGCCAGGTGACCTTAATGACTCCCTCCACCAGACACCTTTCCCACCCTTGGAAACAAAAGAAATGTTAATGAGCAACTCACACCTAGCACATCAAGCTAATCTCAACACATACTGCTGTCTCTGCTTCTACTCTCTGTATTTATTATTATTATTATACAGGATTTATATAGCGCCAACAGTTTGCTCAGCACTTTACAATATAACGGGAGACAATACAGCAACAATACAGTTCAATACAAGAGGGATAGGAGGGCCCTGATCCTCGGAGTGTAGTTCTCTGAAACAGTCTGAAATAGGTAATAATTCACCACTTTTCAGTGCATTCTGGGCATTTGGGAGGTTCTCCTGTGCTTATCTTTAAAAAACGCTTCTAAACGCAAACGCGCATAAATGCGGTATGCAAATACGATTCCAGCAGTCAGTTTCCATCGTTCAGAAGTGTCCCGTGTATGTAGGATCTTAAGGCTCCATGTACACGGGACACTTCTAGTTACATAGTTAGTCTGGCTGAAAAAAGACAAAAGTTCATCCAGTTCAACCATAGAAAAAAAAAAAGTTATAAACTTTGAATGATGAAAACTGACTGCTGGAAAATGTAGGTTAAAAAACATCTGTTTAGCCGCGTTTGAATACCGCGTTATGAGTGTTTGTGTTTAGAAGCGTTTTTTAAAGATAACCTCAGGAGACCTTCCAAAATGCCCAGAATGCACTGAAAACAGAAAAATAACTATTTCAAACATTTTGCAAGAAATAGAGAGAGCAGAAGCAGAGAGAGCAGTATGTGTTGAGATTAGCTGTCTTTTTTTTTGTGGTGTTTGGAAGTGTTCCGGCTCCTTTCTGTGCATAAATTATTGCAGCAGTGTCTAACATATTCTTTCATGCAAAACTTCAGAGTATGGTGTACCGGGTCCATTTGAGTACTGGGAAAACGCTTTGCATGCATTTTTCATGATGAAAAAAGGCTCTGGACAGCATCTGAAAATGGAAGAGTTAAAAAAAAATTCAAACGCAAATGCCTATAAACACAGTTAGTTTGGAGCATTAAAAAAAAAACGACTGTAAACTCAACTGCCTGTAAACGACTGTAAAGGATGAAATGTACATGGAGACATAGGAGAACATTAGGGAGAGTTCAGGGGCTGCTGCAAAAAAACGCTGAACAGCTCCTGAACGTCAGTTTAGGAGCTGCAGTGTACATGAGCCCTAAAATTCTGCAAATTTAGGTGGGCCTATGAACAAACAAATATTCCCCTTCACCCCACTCATCAATTCTCATCCATCAATCTCATAAATCAATATATTGTGAAATATCTTTCCTGGCAGTGGCGTAACTACCGTGTTTCTCTGAAAATAAGTCTTACCCCAAAAATAAGCCCTAGACAAGGTCAGCTTAAAATCCCAACCACGGCGCCACCTGCCTGGAGTTTGCATGTGTTCCCTGTGCCTGCGTGGGTTTCCTCCGGGTACCCTGGTTTCCTTCCACGCTCCAAAATCATGCTGGTAGGACAATTGGATCCTGTCTCCTCCCACACTTCAAAGGCTCCTGTCCAAATTGGCCCTAGTATGTGTATGTATGAATGTGAGTTAGGGACCTTAGATTGTACGCCCCTTGAAGGTCAGGGACCTTAGATTGTACGCCCCTTGAGGGTCAGGGACCTTAGATTGTACGCCCCTTGAGGGTTAGGGACCTTAGATTGTACACCCCTTGAGGGTTAGGGACTGATGTGAATGTACAATATATATGTAAAGTGCTGCGTACATTGATGGTGATATATAAGTACCTGAAATAAATAAATAACAGTACTATACTCGTATTTTTGCAATATATTATATACGTCACTATTTATGTCATAAGCTGCAAACTGTGGACAAGATGAGTGCAAAAAGAAAGAGCTATTCCGTTGAGTACAAGAAATGGATTGTGGAGGAATCTCATGGCTCATGGAGGAATCTCATGGATCTCCGCATGGTCCGAAAATAGCGAGCAGAGGTGTCCTTTTATCACGCAAAGGTAAATGACCGCTGCTCAGTTCTCCGGCATTCTCAGAGGAGACAGTTCTCCGGCATTCTCAGAGGGGAGAGTTCTCCGACATTCTCAGAGGAGACAGTTCTCCGGCATTCTCAGAGGAGATGGTTCTCCGGCATTCTCAGAGGAGACGGTTCTCCGGCATTCTCAGAGGAGACGGTTCTCCGGCATTCTCAGAGGAGACGGTTCTCCGGCATTCTCAGAGGAGACGGTTCTCCGGCATTCTCAGAGGAGACGGTTCTCCGGCATTCTCAGAGGAGACGGTTCTCCGGCATTCTCAGAGGAGATGGTTCTCCGGCATTCTCAGAGGAGACGGTTCTCCGGCATTCTCAGAGGAGAGAGTTCTCCGACATTCTCAGAGGAGACAGTTCTCCGGCATTCTCAGAGGGGAGAGTTCTCCGACATTCTCAGAGGAGACGGTTCTCCGGCATTCTCAGAGGAGATGGTTCTCCGGCATTCTCAGAGGAGACGGTTCTCCGGCATTCTCAGAGGAGACGGTTCTCCGGCATTCTCAGAGGAGACGGTTCTCCGGCATTCTCAGAGGAGACGGTTCTCTGGCATTCTCAGAGGAGACGGTTCTCCGGCATTCTCAGAGGAGACGGTTCTCCGGCATTCTCAGAGGAGAGAGTTCTCCGACATTCTCAGAGGAGACAGTTCTCCGGCATTCTCAGAGGAGACAGTTCTCCGGCATTCTCAGAGGAGACAGTTCTCCGGCATTCTCAGAGGAGAGAGTTCTCCAGCATTCTCAGAGGAGACAGTTCTCCGGCATTCTCAGAGGAGACAGTTCTCCGGCATTCTCAGAGGAGACGGTTCTCTGGCATTCTCAGAGGAGACGGTTCTCCGGGCATTCTCAGAGGAGACGGTTCTCCGGGCATTCTCAGAGGAGACGGTTCTCCGGCATTCTCAGAGGAGACAGTTCTTCCGGCATTCTCAGAGGAGACGGTTCTCCGGGCATTCTCAGAGGAGACGGTTCTCCGGCATTCTCAGAGGAGACAGTTCTTCTGGCATTCTCAGAGGAGACAGTTCTCCGGCATTCTCAAAGGAGACGGTTCTCCGGCATTCTCAGAGGAGACGGTTCTCTGGCATTCTCAGAGGAGACGGTTCTCCGGCATTCTCAGAAGAGACAGTTCTCCAGCATTCTCAGAGGAGATAGTTCTTCGGCATTCTCAGAGGAGACGGTTCTCCGGAATTCTCAGAGGAGACGGTTCTCTGGCATTCTCAGAGGAGACGGTTCTCTGGCATTCTCAGAGGAGAAGGTTCTCCGGCATTCTCAGAGGAGATAGTTCTTCGGCATTCTCAGAGGAGACGGTTCTCCGGCATTCTCAGAGGAGACAGTTCTCTGTATGCCTTTTTATGAAGCGGTGTAGATCACTTCTCCGAATGAGGAGAGAAGCGGTCTACAAACGCTTTGAACGCTGGAAAACGGCTGCTGTTAATATAATCTCGCAAGATTACTGTAAGAGATCGATCAAACCCTGTTTACTAAGCAGCGGTACATTATTGCTGCTTTGTTTGCAGTTCCCCCGATTCTGTACGTCTGGGCTGGAGAATCTGGAGGGAGAATTTTTCACACAGATCGCCATTGAAGGGCTGACATCGCTCCTTCATATACTGGCCATCTGTGTGCTGAACATGTTCTCCACTAATCATCTCTGCTTCCTAAACCACTAATGATCTGAGATCACCAACAATCCTCAGGATCGCCGCCAGGGGCGTAGTTACCACAAGACAAACAAGGCAATTGCCTAGGGCGGCTTTTTGCAGGGGGGCAGCACCTCCCTCCAGAACAAGGGATGAAAGAAGGGATACGTGCTCCATGGGAACCAGGTGGGATCCAAGAGAGGCTGTGGGCTGGTTGTTGGTGTATGTAGAGTCTGACTCTCATTCCTGGGGATCAGGGGCGTATTTACCACCAGGCAAACAAGGCATTTTCCTAGGGCGGCATTTTTCAGGGGGGGCAGTGGCATTTTTATGGGGGGCAGCACCACCCGCCGAAAGAAGGGATGGAAGAAAGGACACAGGCAGCATGGGGACCAGAAGGGATCTGAGAGAGGCTGCTTGATGGTAAATACCGAGCCTAATTCTTGTTCCCGGGGATGTCCGGAGCTGTGAAGATGATTGTCTTCTCTCTCGACGGGGTGTTGCAAATGTATGGGGGGCAGTGGTAGTGGAAGGCTCTCTCGGGTGGGGTGTTGATCAATGTCAAGCTCTGTTTGTGGGGAAGGGGGGTGTTTGTCAGGGTCTCTCCATGGTGGGGGAGCCAATTTTTTTGTTGCCTAGGGCAGCACGAAACCTAAATACACCACTGCTGGGGCTGTCTGGAGATGAAGATGAGTGTCTTTCTAACGCTAGTGGGGGGGGGGGGGGGGTAGTGGAAGGCTCTCCCAGGTGGGGGTGTTGTTGGCCATTGTCAGGCTCTCTCCACTCCATGTAAGGGAGAAGGGGGGTGGGGGGGTTGGTGTTGGTCGGTCGGTGTCCATGGGGCCAGACGATTTTTTGTGTTGGCTAGGGTAGCACAAAACCTAAATACACCACTGATGGGGATGGATGAAGATGAGTGTCTTTCTCTCTATCGCTGGGGGGGGGGGTAGTGGAAGGCTCTCCCTGGTGGGGGTGTTGTTGGCCAATATCAGGCTCTCTCCACGGGAGGGAGAAGGGGGGGGGGGGGTTGGTGTTGGTCAGTGTCTGTGGGGGCAGATGATTTTTGTGTTGCCTAGGGCAGCACAATACCTAACTACACCAATGATCGCCGCTGATCAGTTTTATAAAAGGACACCAGAGTATGATAACCCCAGTCAACGTCAACTGGTGGATGAGGGAAAGGCTAAGAAGCACAAGTGTGGATCAGGTCGGCAACCATCATATTTCCTGAGCTAGAAGACATCATCTGTGAATGGATTTCTGACCATTTGTTCTACAGGAATTGGAGTCGAGAGAAATTCAGGCTGGAATTCAGGGTTTGAAT